CGCCACCGCGTTCCTCAGTGTTGCGTAGCAGCCCCACTGGAGGCGGCTGTGACGCCTCGCCGTGGGTCCGGAGCGAGGTGGACACGGAACTGACTCCGTGTACCTGCTTTGGCGTCCGTTTGCCAGCTCGTGGCGATGTTTATTATTGCCACGGAGCTCGTGAAGCGCATGGCCGTCGTTACCGCGGTCGGAAGGCACGCGGCGGGAAGGGGGAGGCAGGCGACGGAGAACAAGCGAGACGACGTGGACGCCGCAGTTGAATGCCGCGGGAGGCTGTAGCTTGACTTTATGAACGCTTGGGCGCCGTATAAATCTGATTGTTTGGTTTTTGATTACTTCATGTAGTTTTTATTTTTTATTGTTCTCCCTCTCTCCCTCTCTGTGTGTGTACCGCCTCCTGCAACGCAGTAGCCGTTTGAGGCGAAGGAGCTAGCGGCAGGACAGGCCACGCACACACACGCACAGGGCCACATCACCGCGCACAAATACGAGCGGCCCACACGCAGGCGCGCGGCATGGCGACGGTGAAGGTAAAGTGGGGCAGGGAGCTCCTCGAGCTCGCGGTCAGCCTGCAGAGCACGGTGGGGGAATTCAAGGCGGAGCTGCAGCGGGTGACACATGTCCCCGTGGGGCGGCAAAAACTCATGGGCGTCAAGGCGAACGCGTCCAACGACGGGGCCACGCTGTCCGAAGTCGGTGTGAGCGACGGGAAAACGCTGATGCTTCTCGGAACCGCGGCGGAGCCACCAAAAACCGACGTCCCCCCTCCACCCGCGGCAGACACGGCCCCCCACCCCGTAGCCACAATGCCTGCAGGGTTGAAAAACATTGCGAATACGTGCTACATGAACGCGGCGCTGCAACTGCTGCGACTCGTGCCGGAATTGCCGGAGCTGCTCGGGTCGCGCGGGGGCGACGCGCTGCTGCGGTCCCTCGACCAGCTGTACAAGTCGATGGACGCCAACAAGGGCCCCATCGCGCCGTTGCTCTTTTGGAACGCCCTGATCATGCAAAACCCAACCTTTGGGGAACTTGACGAGCGGGGCCTCCCGATGCAGCACGACTCGCAGGAGGTTCTCAACACAATTATTCAACGAGTCAACAATGGGATTCCCGACACACACACGCGTCTCTTTGGTGGGATGATGCGACAGACGACGGCGTGCAAGGAGACCCCAGACGATCCGCCTACCGTGCGCGACCTGCCATTCTTCATGTTGTCATGCAACATTAACGCCGAGGTGCAAATGCTGGAGACTGGCCTGGATGCCGCCTTCAACGAGACGATCCCCATCCATTCCGAGACCTTGGCGCGCGAGGCCCTGTACTCGCGCACAACCCGACTCAGCAGTTTGCCCGAGTACCTCTTTGTGCACCTCGTGCGCTTTTCGTGGAGGGCAGATACGCAAAAAAAGGCCAAGATACTGAAGCCCATCACGTTTCCGCCTGTGCTGGACGTCTTTACGCTCTGCACGGAGGAGCTAAAGGAAAGCATGCAGGAGGGACGAGGCAGGGCGTTGGCGCGCCGCGACAAGGAGCTTGAGCGTCGCCGGGATGCCAGGCAAAAGACACGCCTCGAGGAGGCCACAAAAACACGAGGAAGTGTCCACACCGGCGACGGGTGACGCAGAGGGCATTGGCAACACGAGCGGCTACTACGAACTGTGTGGGGTGATTTCCCACAAGGGTCGAAGCGCCGACAGTGGGCACTACGTCTGTTGGGGCAAACCCGCGGCCCAGTGGTTGGTCTACGACGATGAAAACGTCGCTTCCGTCACCGAGGAAGACGTCATGCGTTTGAGTGGCGTTGGGGAGGCGCACATTGCGTATGTCCTCATGTACCGCTCCAAGGACCCCCAGACAAAGGCCCCGACGCTTCCGCCGTGAATTGGCATACGCTAGTCAATGCTGTGAGGGCTGCAGGTGATGCCTGTCTGTCTGTCCCTCTGGCTGTGTGTGTGTTGTTGTTGTTTTGTGTGAGTTATCCGTGAAATGCCGGTTTTCCTGCGCCTTTGCACGCAATTACATTCTTCTTTTACTTTTTGGAGTTGCGTTCCCTTCTAGCACTGATCCCACCCTGGCCCTTGTAGCGCGCCAACGATTCGCCTCCTAGGATGACGCGGCAAAACTTTACCGCTCAGCAGCTGCGCTGAGGAAACCGATCCACGCTCGTCTCTCTGTGTTTTGCGCCATGGACGGCGGCAGTGGTGGCGGTGCGGGGACTGGGAAGGCTCGAACCAGGGATGCGCCAAGGGAGGAGAAAATCCGTTTTTTCCCAGCGTTTGCCCTCGGCACACACTCTGGGAGAGCGGGAACTTTGGGCGGCACCGAGACGGCGTTGTGCTCAGTCACTCGTGAAATGAGCATCCGTTTCCTGCTGGGCGGCGGTGTGAGTAGTGGTGCTGCGCCTGGCCCCACGGATATCCAACCGCGGAAGTGGCGGCTCTGCAACTGAGAGGCGCAGAGGCGTCTTGGAAGAGGGCATGCGCCCGTTTCCAGCCCCCGCACGGAGCCCACGACGGGTGGCCCAGTAACAGGTTCGCAAGCGGAACGTCCGCCGGGGACGATAACGCTTCTGCACCCAGCGGTGAGGGACGGCACACAAAACAAAAAGAACAAACACCGCGGAAGCAATCTGCGTCATCGTTGAATTCCGTGCCACGCAGGGGAGAAGAAGCGATGCGTCGGTCGCCGTAGAGGGGGAGGGGGGATAGCTGTCCCAACAGGGTTGCCGGCGACGACGTCCACGCGCCAGAGCAATGAAGGAAAAACTAACTTGCGTCGTGGTTTCTCCTCCTCCTCTTCCTCCTCCTTCTCGTAGCGGCGTGGATGATGGGAGCGGCGACCAAAGCGACGCACGTGTGCGAGCGTCCCTCCCGCTACCTCCGCAGCCGACGCCTCGAGCGGTCTCCGGGGCGCTGAGTGAGGCAGCGGCACCCAAAAAACCCATCGCGGCGTGATGGGCATCAAGGTGGCATGGTATGGCGAATGCTGCTCCTTCGTGCTCGCCGGCGGTTGCAGGGGAAAACGAAATCCATGGAGGCAGCCTCGCCGCGAACCCTTCCGCCGTCATCCATAGACCCTGCAAGATCCTTCCCGCGCTTTTTCACACCTGAACACTGGGAGTTCCGCTTCCGAGAGCCCGTCGACCCTCCCAGTGTTCCGCCCCCTGCAGAAGGCCAGGGCTAGTTGACGAATGTGTTCGGCATTTTCAGCAGAACATGCGCTGTCTGCAGGGGGTGGGAGTTTCAGTTCCTCTCACGTGAGAGGTCAACGCTGCGTGTTCACCTGCAAGCGGCCACTCACGTGCTGCGCGCACGGCTTCAAGAGGATGGGCGACGAGGGCCCCCAAGCAAAGAGCGGCTTGTTGCATTGCAGCGTGGGCCGCAGCGGATGCTTAGCGAGGCGGGGGAGCAGCTTCGTGCGTACCTCGCCACCGCCTCACTGGCCGAGCGAGTGCGTCACGGCAGGACTCGTGAAGTTGAGGGGCGGAGGGCCGCAGGTGCGGATGCTACAAGGGCGCGTGCAGGAGGGTGAGCAGGAGGAACACCAGCAACGGGCTCCCTTTGAAGAGCAAAGGGCGAGTGACCGTGAAAGCGCCGAACGCACGGCGACGCTTTTTTAGTGGGGGCCTGCAAAAGCAACGAGCACATTTTCTTTTTCCAAATGAAAAAGCTTCCAAAGTGAGAAGGCAGCCGCTGTGGGCGACCGCCGCCGCCTCAAGGAGGAACTCCACCCACGGCAGTGGGAACTCCGCCGCGCTGCGGAAGACAAAACAACACAAAGCAAGGGACGGATGGGGTTGGAAGAGGAGGGCGGTCGGCTGTGACGCGCTTTGGCGGCAACGGATTGGGTCCGTGCAGCCCAGCAGGCAAAGAAAAGCTGCAAGAACGCCTCAGCAACGCGGTGGACCAGGCGAGGGAAGATGCGTCACGGGAGCAGCTATACTACTGGGCTCCGAAGCAGGAGGCGCAGGGCACCCCCCACGGTCCATCGCGAGCAGCGCATTGGGAATAGAGCGAAGGATGGGACGTTGGCGAGATGAGCCAAGGCGCGAAGAACGAGCCCGCTGGGAGCGTGTTCCGCGGGAGTGGGAGGAAGCGCGGTGACGCGTTTGCCGTGCGTACGACACTTTGTCTGCCCACCTCGCTGACGCACAGGAAAAGGTGCGAAGCCTCCAGCAGTTTTATTGGCGTCTTTTTTTTTTACGAGTCGCGTGACGCAGCTGCAGCCCAATCGACAGACTCGTAAGACATTCATTGGCCACATGGATGCCAAGCGTGGCAGACTCACAGAGAAGATGCAGCAGCTGTTGGAACAGCAGGATCAGCTGCGCGGCGATGGCGCAACGCAACGCGCAGAACTGGACGCTCGTGCCACGGAGCTGCATCGGCTTCCTCTGGCGCCTTTCTAGGGAAAAGGGACGGGTGCCGGGGGAGTGCAATCGGCTCTCAAGGGAATGTAGTGCGTTGAGTGAAGGAAATGGGACCCTGACGGGAGAGCTCCTCATGTGGCACAATGCGATTCATGGGAACATGCCCAAATCGCGTCCGTCGGAACGTGGGAATCAAGTATTTGCAGTGTCCTCCTCCGGCAGACGGATCCCGCTCATTTGTTGTTGTTGCTGCTGCTTTCCGGCACTCTACTCTTCCTGCGGGGAGAGGCATCCGGCCAGTCAATTTCGTCAGGCATTTTGAAGCACAACAACGAAGTGTTTCTCTCTCTCTCTCTCTCTCGGTGTACGCATATGCCTGCTGCAAACGCCTTTTTGGCCTTCGTCGCCCACTCTCCGTCCTACTCACAAACTTTTTGTTGTTCTTGTGTTTTGTTTCCTTCTGCCCCGGCCTTGCGAAGAAGGGAGAGGGGAGCACGTGGGAGGATGCTGCGACTGGCTCCCACCGTGCTACTCTGTCAATGTAAACACGCAAAGAACCGACAGCCGCGGCGTCCGACGCACCATGCGTTGAGTAGCACCAAGTTGGGCAAGGAGCGCTTTGACCTGGCAGAGGCCCTTCGTCGTGACAGACAACGCGTAGAACGTAACCGAACGCTACCGTGGCGTGCTCGCATAAAGGAGCTTCGGTCGTTTCCATGGAAATTTTTTGTCGCCTTTATGCTGCTGTGGTCGTGGATGGGGACCTACGTGGTGCCGTATGTGAAGGGAATGCGTCCACGGGAACTCCCTTCGCTCGGGGAGGGGCGCGACATCCCGGAGGAGCTTCGGCAGCGATCCACGCCGATGCCGCTGTTTAGATACACGGTAAACAACGCCAACGTTCACAAATAGGGGAGTCTCGCTCTTTGCGGCGGAGTAATCACGCCGGGGACTACCGTGCCTGGCACGAATCTCTCTTTCGAGACACGCGGCATATGATTTATCGTCTCTGGTCCCCTATTTCTTGAGCTGCTTCACTTTCTTTTGGGGTGTCTTCTCTCTCTTGCTGTGCTATTGTGTGTGTGTGCTGCTTGACTTTGCTTCGATGCCGGCGTCGTTGTTAAGTTGACGTTATCGTCTTTCCCGACGTGGTTGACGGGGGTGGTGGCGGCCTTACGGCCGCACTTTTTTGCGGCGTTATTTTCTAATTTCCGCGGTGGGGAGCTTTTTTGCCGTAGGTCAGGAATTAATGTGAGAGGCATTCCCGCACACGATTCTGCGCGCAGGTGTGTGCGAGAGTGCCTTTATTGGTTCTGCTGTCCGTCGCTGGAGTCGTTAGTCCCACTGTGTGTGGCGAGGTCCACGCGAAGTGAGCTACGCTACAAGAACCATCTGCGCCTTTGCGTCCCCGACTGACGGCGCTCTCCCTACTCGCGCTTGGAGCTTTTTTTTTCTTTTGACCACGTTGGGGTCACCACCAGCCCGGCCTCGTCTTGGCGCACGGGGTCGTCAGGCAGGTGTGGATTGCCAGCTGCCCTCACGCGTGGGCGCGCGCTCGGCCCACACAAGGCACGGTATCTCCGCTAAGCAGCAGACACCTTTTTTTTTCTATGTATTTTCCTGTCTTTATCGGGGGGTGACGCAGTTGCCGCCTCCCGCACTGCAACGTTTAGACCTCGTCACATGGGGCAGCGGTGGGTGAGGGACGTGGTTGGGGCTTTGCCACGTTAACTTTCTCGAGTTCCCATTTTTGTCAGTGGGAGTCGTGTTGACGCTCTTTGGAGGACGTTGTGTGCCGTACACCGACGTTGGCGTCTGGCAACGACGCACATCACAAGCACCAACACAAACCAAATATGCAGACCACGACGGCGCATTAAGGGGCGCGACCTCCGTACGAAGCGTACGACGCTGTTGAGGACAAGAAGGGGACCTCTGAAAGCCGTCGCCAAGGCCATGTTTGACATGAATGTGAAAGATTTAACTGTTTTGGCCTCCTTGGCTCTCGTGTGGGGTACTTCCGCCCCGCCGCAAAACGGACAACATCACCAAAACCCACGCAACACCTCTTCTCTGCTGTTGGCGCCTCATAGACTGGCCTACAACGACTCCTTCTCTCTGCGTGTGCTCGATGGGCCAAATGGGGACTGTTTGGTGCGTATTACATGGGCGTCATTGGAATGAGCACGCCCAGCGTCGATGTGCTTTGCTCAAGCCACGGCCCTTACGACGTGCCACGTAAATTACGAAAGGGTTTATTTCTTTTCGTCTCTTGCTGCTTTGTGACTGAGTCAAGCACATTGATTGACAAAATCCAACCTGGAGGTTTTAGAACCCAACGGAAGGTGACATAGTCTTGGGGTTGAGAGCTATTCCTATTTTATTTGCTTGCGTTCCCTTTCCTAATTCACGGGGGTGCGGCGGATGCAGTGAGGTGACAATCCCACAACGACTCTTCTGTTGGGCACCGAAAGCTCTAATTGCGTTCTCCTTACCTTCAGGATTTCCAGACGCAACTCAACTGTGAGAGGTAAGACGTGTGAGAAGGCGCAAACTGCACGAGTATCGAGTTGGAAAGTATGGACGGCAAGGGAGGAAGCCCTGCACGGTGTGTATGTTCGTGTGCAGCGTGGCCTGCTGTAAATAGCTGCGACTGTCTTGTGCGGCCTTGCCCCTCCACGCTGGTGTCTCTTTGCGTGCGGGAGCGGACGTGGCTGCTGCAATGCTGCTGCTGCCGCCACTCCTCTAATTGCTGTGCGTATCTCCCTTCCCTCTCCCCTGCTGCGCTCGATTCTCTTGTAGGGGACCTAGCCGCCCCTTCCCGCGCCACTCCACATGGCCACAATGCGCTTCTGTGCACCTCTTGCCGCACTGCCCC